ATTTTCTTTTGTCACTGCCTAAAGAGTTTCGGATAAATAAATAATAATAGTGAAAAAGCTTTTATGAAAAGTAACTTAACAAGCAGAGCAATGTGGTCCCAATTTTTCATATTTATATATCAAATCACAATCCCTAACTCTCTGCCAAGAATTACACTTTGCCTCACTGTGGTGACGTCCTTTTTGTTAAACAAAACAATATGTATAGGCAGACATAAGAGGAGCCAAAAAGGCAGACAGATTTTTGCCTCAGCAGAACATGAACTTTCAGTCGCTGAAATAAAATGGCCTTTATTTACTATATATATAGTATAAGAATGTTATGTCCGGAAGGAACTTTCCAGCCACTTTCTTGGAAAACTAATATTAAAGAATTGGATAGTGAAAGTGAAGCCAGGTGACAATTTGAAGAATCAACAAATGTTCTTAGGGCTCTGAAGTATTGAGTATAACTGCAATGGGGTAAAAAAAACTGGATTTTTAATTTTCATTTCATGTACAATATAAACAGTTTTTGGTAAAAACTGGACACAAATCAAACCTTCACAACTGAACCATTAACTGGTTTAGGTTGCATTAAAAATTTATCTTGCAGTGTAGTAGTAGTAGTTTTTCTTTAAATTTGAAAAATAACTTAAATTACTTTAAATGTAAGGTTGCCTTCAGTAGGTATTCACGCAAACTTGGCTACGATGATTATACGAGGCAATATAATTCATTTTCAGCCCGTGCATTGCAACTGTAGGCCATCACAAAATTATAGTTTGTTTTTTCTTAACGATCCCCTCGATACTGGCATCAAATATAAAACGGCTTAGAGAATAGAAAGCGAATTGCAATTAACTGAAGAGCAAGCAAGTAAGAACATTACAGTCGGACAAGGCCGACCAGTTAACACCTTACCACACCATATTATTTAACATAATTCTTATTTTCGTATGAAATTACTATGATGGGTGCATTTTCATCACCACATATTAAAACGTAGACTTTTGTGCTCTACAAAGGATCAATTTTCGTGAAAATCCTTATTCGGGTAGGTTGCAGAAAATAGGCCGGGATGGTCCAAATTTGGCATAGTTCATTTTTTTACGCAAAATTACTATAGTTATATTATTATAGTTTTCATCATGAACTTCAGCTTTCGGTATATGAGAGATGGTTCAAAAATTCCCCCAGCCAGTCCAAAGTTTTCAGATCAATATGCAATGCCAAAATACTACTACTTAGCGACTTTCGTTGAGAAATTTTGAAACACATTTGAAATTTGAATTACAACGAGTTTTCAGAATAAGGCATTATATGGGGAATGGTCGAAAAAGTGGATCGATCCGAACCATTTCCAATAGCGGTCATCCTTGGGTCAAAAAACGTCATTATACCAAATTTCATTAAAATATCTTAAAAATTATGACCTGTAGCTTGCGCAAAAATATACATGGACAGACATCTGACGGACGGACAGGGTTACTTCAATCCAGATTAAGATACTGAATCAATCGGTATAATAGAAAGTAAATCTATCTTAAACTCTTCTGCGCGTTACATACGTCCGTATTGACTTAATACCGCTATGTAACACAAGCGCTGTAAATGTTGTAAAAATGAATTATGTAATAAATTTGAATACCTCTTTTATATTAATCAACTAAAAAGCGGAATGTAAATTTTTTCCCGGAATGTTTTTTTTTTATGCCAATATACGTAGAAGCCTCGAGCGATTAGAAAAAAAATCAATCAAAATTCTCACCCTTGAACGCCTTCAACGCCTTAAGCTTGTGAATATAGTCACATAGTACAGTAGCTTTGGAGAAACAATTGTTTTCCATTTTTTAGTTGATTAAAAAAAAGGTTTGTTTTTTAATTATATAATTTTTTTAAAATTTATTAGTCAATCTATACAAAACACCTGCATGTATTTATTACATATGCTTCACGATATAATATAATAATAGAAATAAAAACAAATGCGGGAAAATTTTAGGGACGAGGCCAGAGAAAAGATTCATTGAGAAATAACTGAGGTTAATTATTCGGGCATTTAAAATACAAGTAAATATTTGTTACTGTAAGAGTCGTGTTATCACCGAATCATTAACTGGAAAATTTAGCAAGAGATTATTTATTAAGAGATTTTTTATTAAACCTACCGGCCATAGGTTACAACTGATAGTTTTACCTTCACTTGAGAGACGCAGATTTATTCTGGGTGTTCTTCTTCTTCCTCTTAATTAAGGTAATCATTGATACTTAGGGAGATACGATTACGAGTTGCTTAACCCGCTCAGAGTTGCTTGTAGTAATTAAAATGAAGTCTATCACTTGATCACAATGTCTGAGTTACTAAAGACTATCAAAACAATGTTACTTAATACAAAAGATTTTCCCAAGTCTCATCTAAATTTACTTTGAACCCAAATCAGTTATGAATTTGGCAGAAAATTTGGCTCTGCCGTTGTCGGTTGCCATGATTAACAAATTTAGATTTACTCGCATCTACGGTCTCGATTCATTCTTCCGAACGGGGGGGCACCGTTGCAAGCGGCTTGCATGCTTACTTATATACATACAAATCTTAAATTTATTTTTTAACTTTATTTATAATTTGGAGTAATTATGTCTACTATCCTAGTACATTACTAAGTACTACTAAGTTTACTATTCTAGAATTTACCTATCTCTAAATCTTAATAAGCATATATACTTAAGAGCATGAGATAGTCTCTCAGAGTTAGTGAACTCGACAGTTGAAATGTAGCAAATGAGTTCTTCTCCTACTTCAAACAAATAAATAAATAAATAAATAAATATTTATTATCATTTATATTATTTGCAGTTAAATTGATCAGGATTTAAATTATATTCAATAGATTTTTTTAATCATTTATTTTCGTTTATTATTACAGAGGGTTTTGCAAGTGCAAGTTTCATAAGTTTTAACTGCAGTAGGTCACTCATATGTCAAAAGCGATATAATACATATTTGCTTACAATGTGACAGTCACAATAGTTGCTGTACTACTGCAATGTTGATAAGTTGGATTCATAAAAATAGCGGTTTCAAACATTGTTAAACAATATTTTGATGGTAATTTCCAGCGATTAAAAAAATTATGAATCATTTGACTAAAAGCAATGTTTTTCAATGAGAGTAAGTGAACGCTCTTCTATATGAAAAACTCTCTACACGAGACACTTTACTACTTACTACGCTCCCAGAAAAGTAGACGTGTTAATGTGCTCAGAGATTGTAAAATGATCGTCCAAATGAGGGGAAATAGTTCAACAAATGTCAAGAAACTTGTTTAGAATTTTGTATTATAAACGCGACAATCTGCAAAACAGTCAGATAAAAGAAAATATATGTAATTATTTTATTTAACAACAACAACAACTACCAAGCCTAGATATCGGCTTAACTGCTTTCAATACAAAAAAAAAAAAAAAAGAAAAGAAAACACAACAAAAGAAATTGTATATAAATTAAACCGACTTTTTCAACACCCGCCCTTAGCCTTTCTAAAGAGATGGTCAAATTACCGATAAACATCTTACAATATATATATTTTAAGTCGTATCTCACACAACGTGGTAGCATTAAATAGCAACAGTAAATAACTGAATGAATTAAAAACTGTACTGAAATACATACCTTTCTGTATATATATTTTTTTAATACCTGTGGGGGAATTCAGAATACGCTTAAGCTGATTCGGAACACTGATGGGAGATTTTGTCGCATTTAATAAAGACATAATATTTTAAGGTAAGGACGGACTTAACGATTCATGTTGCCCATTTTCTAACAAACGCTAACAGGAACGATAAGAAAAAAGTTAGAATTATTGTTGGGTTGTAATCGTAAAGTGAACAAACGGAACCCAATGATAAGCTTGGCAAATCTAGTTCCTCTTTTCTTCTTTAGCTTCGTAACCGTAATCTAAACAGATGAATGGAGGGATAGGTTTGACCTCCGTTTTTCATGCGAACATACTTTTTTCCAAAAAAAAGTTTTGATCTCATAATTACACAGGCAGACAGATAGATAGACTTGGCACATCTCTGGATGGACGGATAGGCTTGATTTCCGTTTTTCATGCGAAAATTCTTTTTTCCAAAAGAAAATTTTTGATCTCGTGATTACACAGGCAAACAAATAGGTAGACTTTTTACATCTATTGCACATTGACACTCTTCTAGGGTAAGCAATCGTGATTTGGGAAGATCATAAGAATTTGGCAAAACTAATTTAACTCTTTTGATTGATATAAAAGGAATTCACAAATGTTTTCGAGAATTTTAATGTATAGCAAAACCACTTGGATTGATATTATGTACGATTATACATCTAGTATAAATTGGGCAAAGTACGGAGAGAAAACATTATTACTTACTAAAGCTCTTTACAAAAAAAAAAAAAAGAGAAAAAAAGAGTTTGGGTGTGGGACTAGGAGAGCGAGGTATGCTTACGAGTGGAGGCGAGCAAAGAATGGAGAGAAATGGTATTTGTGTTGCACGCCGAACTTGCAGTGCAGTATCTCTAATTCGAAAAATTCACTTTACAGTCCTTCGCATAACCATGCAAGTTCTTTCCTGTGCTACATAATCATTCTTAGCGTTAACTTCATTTCATATTATTTTACAATTAAATTTTAATTATTTATAAAATTAAGAAAAAATTGATTTTGAAAATATAAAAAATCTCCTACGCAAATATATGCTCCTTGCGCGAATAGCTCGACTCGTATCGGTGCGACTAGAGTAGTGAACACAGAAATTTAATCTGCTGAAGAAAATCTTACGTAAAACGAATGTTCCACTCATAGTCCTATCACAAATAAATGTTTTCAAGAAATGGATAGGTAGCTCATTTTGTCTGTTTGCTACACACGTACGATAAAGTTAACATACCTTCTTGTTATAGTCTATGAAATAAATAAAGTCGGTGTGAGTTGGTAGCGCGATCGCTTGCACTGCAAGCTTTAACTTATTTGTTTCATATGAGTTTAGTACCAACAATATAATTGCAGCAGTGAGATCGGGGCTTTTTTTTCCTGTTTACTATTTATTCAATTTCTTTGTCTATGCAAAGAATTCAAAAGTGCTCAACTCATAGAACTTGTATTCAGAATTATTGAAACAAATAAATACAATTTTGTAGACAGACATGCAATAATATTGTTAAAATATTCTGACGTAAATCACGGCCTAAAAGCGATAACAAAATGAAATGATCAATAGGGAATAAATCAAAAAATTAACTGATTTATTAGCTGCTTGCTTGCAAATTGTGTTTATTATAGCAAAGCCTAAGCAAAGTGTGAAGTGTTGTCACCGATTGGCGGTTTTAGTAGAAAGTAGTAATTATTGCTAAACAAATGTGTGCAAGTGTTTAATCGTTGTAGGAGAATGTCAAAATATCAAATCTTAAATAACGATTCCGACTATGATGAAGTTACGGCCGGCATATCGAATGAACCGTTCACTTTACTAATGTTTGATAGCGAGCAACAGGATAACTCAGCTCATCAGTTATCTCGAAGCATTGATCGTTACCGATCCGAATGCAATAATCATTTAAATGAAAACCATAACCAGTACGATGATTGCAAGGAACGTAACAGTTTCAACGAAAATACGCTGCAACGTTCACACAATGATAACGATATCCCTCATGTTGTCACAAATAATAATAATAATAATAATAATAAGAATGTTAACGATAAAAATTTGATCATGTCAGCAAATTACATTAAAAACTGCAGTAAGCATAAGGCAATCCACAGTGCAATGACACCGCTAGACACCGATGAAAGTACAATTGAGGTTCCGCTAATGCAAAATCATACCACTACTGCCACGAACGCCAACAACAGGGATAATGCCAGTAACACCCGCAATCATATTCAATTTACAAAAGCAAGTAATATTTATACCATTTACAAAGAAAGATCTACGTAGCTACGTTTATTAGATATATCGTAAATATTTTCAACTTAAAAAACTGTTACAGAAACAGCGATTTTTCTGCAGAAAAATGTTTTCAAGTTTTTAGAATGTTAGATCATGGCGTTTACAGGGATTCGTAATGATTATAAAGAGCCATATTTTTTAGTCCATCGTTACTCCACTAAAAGTCTTACTGCACTAAATACATACTTCAGTCGTTGCTTTTCCGCTCTAAGAGTTTCATTTTAGATCGTTTTTTGACAGACCCAAGCCAATATAAAGCGAAACATATACATCTGTTATTTACTTGAGGAAACTGTGTATGTAAAAAAGTGACATCTGTCCATGGCTTAGAAGTTATGTAATAAACGAACGCAGCACGTGATGATCCTTCTGTTTAAATATTTATGCCAACCTTTCCAAATATTCAGTGAACGAAACGCAGCAGTAAATGATTGCAAGGCGTCCAATTTCTGTTCAATCGATACCTTCGATTACCTTCCTGCTTTACAATTTTATATCCCTTTTGACTCGAGAACATTCGATTAAAATTTGCTATAAAATGCTTAGTTATTTGTTTATCGGACTAATTATGACGATTGTAAAGTAATAAATTTTGATAAAAAGTTGTATGATTTACAAAGATTGTCTATCGTAGCGAGCATTACTTAATAATTAACTTTAGAATTCGACTAGTTGCGTCATTAAATAAAACTAGAAGAATTCTTAATGATTCTTAATCTTTCTAAAGTGCAAGCATACTACGAGATCGTATCAATACCGTGGATGAATCGCCGTTAGTGGCAGCTGACATAGTAATTTGCACTGCACTCTTCCATCAATCTCCTCCGTGACACATTCCTTTGCTAGGGGTGGTTGCAATTAGTGTTCTGCTTCTGATGGAACCTTACCCCGTTTATGTACCGCATTTCGCGTAGCACCTTCATTAAATCCCCCGCTGTAGACCACTCTTTTGGATTGTCCGATATAGGTCGAGAGCATTACAGGGTTCTCTTTGACCTCAGTCACAAATAAATGTAGTGCAATCAGCACGACTCTTGTACGAAACATGCCACGGAAACATAACACCTAAAGTAGTGTAAATGCTCCTATAAATATAATATTATAGGCATAGTATATATATATGTATATGTAGGCATAATATATGCGCGTAATTTGCCTGAGTTTCATTTTGTGATGAAGATTCTAAGGCAATAAAAGCGATCACGTTCATCGTCACCTTTATGCTACGTACACGTCTCTTGCTTCACATACTGATTAGTAATCACACATTACAAACAAAAAGCGAAGATCATCGCTTATCCTCATTTCAGTATAGTGCAGGGATGGATTTCCTCTACTTTACTTTTTCAACTTGATTGTGATTATCAAGATCACCTATTTCGTGGTATGTATACCGTTACCGTCACTGTATTTAACTATGCATACCTAACGGACTACGATTTTTACTATTTTCTATATAATTTCATTTGATTACAAAACTCCCAAGAAGTGCCACACAAAATTTTTTTATGATCGTTAGTAGTATATAGCTCCGATCGCAATAACATAAAACTGCTAAGCAGATCGAGTAAAAACATTACAGTCGAGCAAGATCGACTGGTAAATTTCCTACAGCAAAGACAAATTTTTCAGAGGCTCTTTGTATTGGACAGGGTCCAAAAACTTAAGGTAATATGTCCTAAATTTAGCAAAACGAATTATTCCGGCTTCACAGTACTCAACATTACACTTTGCTGCCATATAAAGGCTTAGCTTTCACAAAAACCCTTGCGGTTTGAAAGCGAAAAATAAACCTACTTGGTCCAAATTTCGCGCAACTAATGACTATGTCAAATGGTTCCATAGATCTTATGTTCTTTTGATCGAAAAATATTATATATTAAGCATTTTTGCCATACAAAGGCCAATCAGACCCAAATTTCCCCCCGAACGAATATTACTCAGCGGATTTTGTTAAGTAGTTTTGAAAATGACATTTTTTTAATAACATCTAACAAATTGCGTCAGTAGATCTCAAAAAATTATAGCCTGTAGGCTAATCAAAAAGACATCGACGGGCACATATTTAAAATAAATGTCGTACTCAACAAAGACCGGAAAAGATCACTTTTTTTTCCAATAAACACATATCAAAATGACAAGATAAATAAGAACTAAATTAATTAATACTCTAAGCAGCGGATCACTCGGATTAGGAGTCGAGGAAGCACGCTGCAAATTGTGCGACATCGTGTGATCTGCAGGACACATAGACATCATGATCTTCTATACATATCACAGTCCATGCTGTAAGGTACTTTATTCAATTTTGAAGTACTACTTAGATCACATACGGTTGAGCGTTCCAAGAGTGTGCAAAACAATTTGCAACAACTATTAATTTTAAACAAACAATGTATATTAGAGTGAACTAAATAGGCACTACTAAGATGTTTACGGGCTGTAGCTGTTTATGGTATTAACAACAATAGTAGGGACGTTAATTAGCAGCCATGAAGTCGCTTGCTTTTCCATTCGTATCATTGGTAATGCAAGAATTCTGTTAAACTGCTACACTGTATAAAATATTTACAAAGCAGAACCTTAAGGGTTTTCGTATTTTTAAATGAACATGCGCTATCCTATCGACATGTATGTAAATGTGTATTTTATCCGAAGAACAGATAGAAAAAGCAATGAAACGAAGTTAATATTCGTAGCACATAAACTTACAAAAATTTCATCACATGTTCCCTCTCTGTAAGCGATTCTCTTATGCTGATAGAGGAATGGAGAAAAGTCGGTCCTCTCAGTTAATATCGACATGATCGTTGAAGTATTTACGGCGGTGAATAGTCATTGACTTTTCTTTTTACTTGGACTTCACGTACAACCTTTTATGTTCTTTGTATGAGCTACACGACCATGAATTCGTTCTTTTCTTTTCTATTTGCTGCTTGCTTGTGTGCAAATATAAATTGCTTTCACGTCGCTTTAGCTTCTTCATCTCATCAGACTTTATTATTTCACCCTTACGCTGTGTCTGCAAAGGAATCCTTAACATCGGTAGTAAAACCGAATATCCTTTGTATCGCTTTTGAGAAGGATTAGCCGAACTTAGTGATTGGTGGTCAACTCGCAACGGAACTATCGCTAAGACATACTTCGAACAAATGCAATTAAGTCAAAGATTAAAGGAAAGGTGGCTGCAACATATATGAGCTTACCGCGCTCTTGTGATCGCCAAACATGTTACTCTTTCTGATTAGTATCTCTCTGCCTTTCCTTTCCTGTTCCTTTGATGCATAGTCCAATGCACTTTCGACACGAAAGAGATAAGAATAATGTGTAGTTAACGGTAGATGACAGTTTTTCAATATAAAGCCTTTTGTCACTCTCCTGAAACAAGCATTTTACACCTTCAACCATTTGTGGTACAGGAAGTATTAGGACTTAAGACACACCCATCTTTCATTACACCTCCTAGTTTATTTAATTTTTTTATATCAGAATCATTTTCTGAACCAATCTGAGGCTGTCTGTCCGATGGCTGCCCATATAAATTTGTGCTCAAGCTACAGGTCGCAATTTTTGAGATACTTTGATGAAGTTTGATACACTGACGCGCTGTGACCGAAGGACGTACGCTCTTGCAAGTTGTTTCAATCGGTCCATTTCTTCGATCAATTCCCGTATAACGCCATATTTTGAAAGGTCGTTTTATGGAAAAAAATTCTAAAACTTGAAAATTTTTCGACATAACTCGCTCTTTAATAGTACAATTGGTATGAGAAATTTGCTCGGCTGGTGTAATTTTTGAATCCCCTCTCCTAGAACCGTTCCTACGAGAACACAAAAAGGCATAATTTGTAATATTTCGCGGTGAAAGTTAGTTCGTAATAATAAATTGGCATCGAAATCAAGTTTACCATCTTTGGACCACGTAAGTTTATTTTTTGGGTACCATCATATATATGGGTTTCTCCAGTATGCGGGCCTTGAGAACATCCTTTGCATTAAAATAAAGTGTAACTTTTGTTGCATTCTTGCCAAAACGATTAAATAACTATAACAAGCGAAGTAATGTCGAGTATCTAAGAATCGGCCTTGCCCGACTATAATGCATCTACTTATTTTTCGTGAAAAAAATCGACGTGTAATAATTCGTACACTTTATACGCCTGGATATCATATTCGAGCATATTATTTAATAGTTTTTTTTTTAAGAGTCATGAACAGAAATATTTCCCCGACGAATATTTTTCTAAAATTAAATATTTATGCGTCCATTCGCTTGAAAGTAAATTTTTTTTTTTTTTTTACGCTTTTAAGGATTACGAACATAAATGCCTCTGTGGACAGGGAGGTTTCGGCGCTAACCTCAGATGCAAATCAACGCAAGCAGCGAAAACGAAAATTCTCCGGGCGATCGTCATTTGCTGCATTTTCATGGCAAGTATTAAAAACTTGGACTGACAATCGCACAGTGTCTGATGTTGTAAGCATTGCCTTGTGTTGTTTTTCTTTCTCTCTCTTTCCTTTTCTCTCCCTTTCTCTCTCTCTCTCTCTCCCCTCTCTATCTGTCTCCCTGCTCACGTTTGTGTTTATACGCAGGTTGTCGAATTTCTAGGTGGCTATATAGCCGGAAGCCTGGCCATTATGACTGATGCCGCACATTTAGCATCTGATTGCATTAGTTTTATAATTGGTTTGGTAGCAATTTGGTTGGGCAACAGGCCACCGGACGATAAAATGTCATTTGGTTATAAGCGTATGGGTAAGTGTTGCTATTGTACACTTGTTTGTTGACACTATTGTTGTTATTGTCAAATTTCACAAACCATTTACCCCAAGAGCATTGTATAATACATCAACATGAAGTATTGTTTTATATGCTTAACGACAAAATATATTTCTGTTGGGTTGGTTGTTTGTTTTTTTTTTTCGATTTTTGCGAGATTGCGAGTACTGAAAGTAGAGTACTACTAATTCTCTAATATATCACTGCACAATTAGAAAGACGCGCTTATTCCATTAAATTTTCGTATTTAAAGAGAAATCTAGATATGCAAAATAAATTTTTATCACAGAAAGATGGTAGAAAAAAAAAACGCACATCAACACAAGAAGTAGCAAAAGTTAAAAAAAAGTACACATGAAAAAAAAAAATTACGCTTTTACTCAATGACAACAACTATGGGGGATCAATCTACACAAGGAGTTTAAAAACCCACTAGAGATAAGTTTAAATTCATTCATAAATCTGATGATTGCAGAAATTATTGGTGCTATCGCTTCAATTTTGGGAATTTGGATATTAACCACGACCTTGGTTTTAATGGCATTACAACGCCTTTGCACAAACGACTATGAATTGGATGCGAATTCTATGATGACAATTTCTTTCATTGGAATTATAATTAACATAGTGTAAGTATAATAAACTATATAAAGGTTTCAAATTTCAGAAAAGCCACATTTGGCGAAATTTGTTTTTGTTCCTACGCTAGACTTAGGGCATCCGTCAATTTGATGAGTTTGTGATATAAAGGTTTAAAATTCTGCATAAGGAAGGGCACATCTTTGGATGTGATATAGTCAATTTTAATGATTTAAGACAGCAAATATGTACGCCTACTCTTTCCTTTTTTTTTGGACACGCCTGCTTTACTATATATATTTCTAAATATTGTATACCCGTCAATTTGATGAGTCATTTTTATGAATCCTCACAGTTGCAGAAATGAAGATAGGAAGCTCAAAAAACATTCCTTGACTTATTAGGGATATGAAATTAGGTGGTTGACGTTATCTGTTTACATACACACCCACAATGTAAGAAACGCTAAAAAAAATCTCTGAAAATTTACCTCCCTTACTTTCCATTCCCTGAATATATTTCTGAAAACTTGCTACTCAAATATCCGCCAAAGGCACATGCATGCTTGTTTCGGTGCAGGAATGGTCCCCATCGATCTACTAATACCTAAGCAATTGAAGATTGCATAGATAAGCTAGCATTAACATTTATATCATTGAGTCCTTTTTCGTACTAGAACCTTTTTCACTTTCAACACCAGATGAGAGATGGTTCAAAAAATTGCCCCAGCCGATCCAGTTTGCACCGATTTAGAATGCCGAAGTATTATTATTTTTGTTGAGAAATTTTAAAAATTGCAATTTTTCCCTTTAACGACTTTGCAAAATGGGGCGAGTGGTCGAACCACACCATTTCAAACCATTTTCAATAGCGTTCGCCGTGGGATCAAAACACGTCAGCCTACCACATTCTCTCAAAATATCTCAAAAATTCAACCTGTACATTGAACACAATCGAATCGATCGGTATAATAAAAGGAGGGCCTACATTAAGCCCTTCTGAGTGTTACGTAAGTCCGTATGTACCCTGCACAACAAGTGGTGTAGAGTATAATAAGGATTTCGCGTAATTGCAATAAGCTACTTACTACATGAACAAATGGCTTCAAAAACATTTAAACCTTACAGAGCCAAAAAACAACTAAAAGCTTGATAGCGGGTACCCTATACCGCCGGCAATTGTTCTTACAATGTAGAGTTAGTCTTTTCAAAATAAAGCGCTACATGACAAAGAGTCCAAAAAGTATTTCGATGCGAACCCATCTCAATAGCAATCGTCCTGGGGTCAAAACACTTCAGTGTACTAAATGTCCTTTAGGCCTTTAAGTTGGACACAAGAATAGGACAGACAAGGATAGATCTAAGAAGAAAGTTATTCTAAATTTGAACAACACAATAAGAGGTCTATCTCAAGTTCTTATCCACATTGTATAAATCCGCAAAAAATTAATACATCCCCGTGTAACAGGTAGTGTAGAATATAATTATTGAATATAAAGACTAATTGCGTAACTAACAATTGCCCTTTGCTTAAAGTCCAGAATTGAATGGCGATACTCTTCCTTGCATGAAATATAGAAGACTGTCTACAGTAACAAATGACATGTATTCGGTCACGAAAAAAATATTAGAAAAGACCAGTGCCAGTTTCAACAAATCATCGTCGTCCCATCAGCATTCGTCCTGCTCTGTCGAAAGTTTCTGAGCGCTTAATAACAAATCCGATTGGATGGCATTTGAGTTCTAACAATTTACACTCTGACAATCGAATGTTATAAGCGAAGTCATAGCACGGGCTGGAAGATACTCGATCCGACTCTGATGAGAAGAACTTAACGGCTCTGGTTAGGATTTATCTCTCTAAGTCCTCTCACTCTATTTTTAGCAAAGCTAAACCGCTACTTTGGTTTCGCTCTGACTGGGATTAAGCTTCTTAAGTCTAACTTGAAAAATCGATATCAGGGCATGAAAAACGGTTGCTCTATCTTTGAGATGAGAGTTGCTAACCCCGGTATACCGCAAGGCCGATTTCCTTACGTGTTCGTTAAAGATCTAATTACTCAAATATATCTGTTTCCCTTTCATGAATTTGTGGAGGATTTTATCCAACGAATAAAAGAAGAATCGGGTAATATTTCGCAATAGTTTAAAGTGAAAGCCAGATAAAACCAAGGCTATATATAGTGATATCAGCCAATGCTCATAATTCTGATTCTCTAACCAGTACTATAACGGCTGTTGTGGTATATTATCAGTCACGTCTCCAACCTTCTTCCCATGACTAATTCATGTCAAGTGCTGATAATCATATCAATCTTATGACCATGCGTTCACATAACATTCTAAGGAAATTTAAACTAAAAATAGATACTGCTCACAAAAGATCTACGGATCTAAATATATCAATATAACTTGACTGCTTTTTCGTTTATTTCGTATGTTACTATCTGTTATAACATAAGCGATAGAACAAAAAACATGTGAAAAATATAAAAGAGGATTAATTGCTTAACAAAAAACTTCCATTTTCTATACGAAAATTTTGGAATTAAAAACCAACTACTTTTATGTAATCTTCTTACAATGTATTCTAAATGCAAACAACGTTTTTCAGAGCATCAACATGTAAGCCCTACAAATGCGGTAAGCTAAGTCAGTTCCACTGACTTTAAGCATTCCTAATAATGCGAGAATTTTTAATTTTGCATGGATTACTAGGTTCGCAAAAAGACTTCTTCTGGACTTTTCATACTGGCTGCCAAAAAATTGCAGTGTGACAGATTTATTTTTGCTGTTATAACATACGTTATATAACATTTTTGTTAATAAGAAAATGTTAAACAAGGACAAATATATACAATAATGTTGTCGCATTACCGAAGTATCGGAAAAGTCTGGTTGTGTATTTCGATAAAAGTGATAATCAATGCAAACAAAAATTCAAGGTCAATTCAAGGTAGTGGTTACAGGGCAAAGGTGCATCCATTGGAACCTAACAGTTACTATTTTGATTTGAGGAAGGAAGTAAAAAGTTGGCGTTGTCGTATCTAGTGCTTCGAAAATCCAAGACAAATAGTTGAGCAAACTTTTTGACTACAGAGAGCAACGATTGGATTTGGGTTTCAGTAGGGCTCTGTACGTAAGCCACATTTTTCGAAAACGTTACCATTTCGACCGTTACACTGTAAGGTTATGTATTGCCAAACTTTGTCGATCGACCTTTTTGGTGTGAAACTAATCGTGTAGGAGAGGATGATGTCTGCTTTAGCCATCTGCGCTAGAGCTCGTCAAAAAGAAATACATCTTTTGTTGAAAGATCCGATGCATTATATTATATGTAAATAAAAAATAGTCAAATGGTAAGCCTGGTCGCCTTTTTCCTGTTGTTGGAACGTCCACAACCATAAAAATTGATTTGTATTAGTATCTCTTTAGTGGATGGTTATACCACAAGTTTTAAATTTAAAACTCGATTGCGACAAATTTGCGACATCACTCATAACATAAACCAAGTGAAAAGGACTAGGTCGACTGTTAAATACCTCACACTACACCATCTAATACAACACTTATTTTTCCCATAGAACACACAAATTGTACAATGTTTTTATATGGACTTACTATTATGGAACTGTATATCAAAAACAAGTACAAACATTAAAGCCGGGCAAAGCCGACCATTAAATATTGCAGACCACATTGTATAACATAATTAATTTTTGTTATCCTAAATTACTATTATGATCTGATTTTCAACGTGAAGCATTAAAACCTACGCCTTTTTGTCATATGAACTTTCGTTTTCGTTACGTAAAGGGGGAATTAAAATATTATTTTAACCGTTCGAATGCTTTCACACCAATTTGTCGACAACATTTGTCGAAAAATTTTGAAAATTGAATATTTTTCTATATAACGTTTTTTCAAAATAGGGCGTTATATTGGGTAGGGTCGAAAAAGCGAACCAATATCAATCATTTTCAATAACATTCATGCTATCTTAAAAATTGCGACCTGTAGCCTGAACACAAATGTATATATGGATAGACATTGAATGAACAGACAGACAGGGTCTTTTAGATAATAAGAGGTGGATCTATCTTAAGTCCTTCTCCATGTTACATACTTTCGCACAAACTTAATGCCACAAGTGATATAAGGTATAATAGATGTACTTGGAAAGACGACCTGCCACCATTGGCGAATCGCCACGCCCTTAACTAAGAAAATACTGGTTTATGTTGTTTTTGTTGCCTTTGCGCTTATTAGAAACGTAATTGCGTAGCAGTAGGGAAAACTAGAGCTTCTTTTTTTTTTTTGTATATCTAGATATCCTTGAAATAACTGCTATCTGCCATAATATCGAATAACAGATTCACCCTTAAGCGTTACCTTAGATTTTGTCAGTTTGTATTGTGTTGCTGAGCAATCAAAAATGCAAAACACGTAGCAAGCAAGCAATTGCATATAAATGCCGTGTAACATTTATTGAATTTAATATCAAGTGCTTTTTATGATCTATTTTTTTTCTCAGCATGATTTTTATTTTACACACTTCAACGCATATCCTGCCAACCGTTGGCATTGCCGAAGCCCATGGTCATAGTCATAGCCATAATCATGGCCATGGTCATTCACCCGCCACCGTGCATTTGCATCGACCTAAAAGTACAAACGACAACCATTCGCAGCTGTCTGATGTTTTTGTTGATACGACAAGTGGGACAACATCAATGGAGTTATTGTCGCCTGAAGCAATGGTGCTCAACGGAAGTGGTTTAAAACACCAAACAGATGGGTGAGAATTTATTGAAATGTAAATTGTTGCATGTAACGGACATTTAATTAAATATTGCTAAATGTTTTTGTTTTTTTTGTTTTTTTTTTTTTTTGGGTGATAGGATTTTATAATCAATTTACCATTTATTTCTTTTATATTGTAATACTGTGCATTGTGTAAACATTTAAAAAGTTTATGAATAATCCACAACGGTATAGATTAATATTTCTTCTTATACATTATTCTTTTCATTTCGATTCAATTTTCCTTTAGTTACGCAAACATTTAATATAAATATTTGAAACGGTATTCTCACCGTACCATTATTAACAATGTATTAAAACGTATATGTAACGTATCTCACGGCTATAATAATGGATATAAAAATATATAATCACGATTTATATCAACATTTAATTCATCATATATCGGATTTTTTTTCAGAAATGATAAGAATTTAAACCTACGTGCAGCCATGATTCATGTCATCGGCGATTTGGTGCAAAGTTTTGGCGTATTTTTTGCTTCAGTATTAATTAAGAATTTCGTAAGAGCAATTTACATATTGACATATATGCATAACAACAATTTGAAATCACGTTTATTTTATATCCTTTTCTAGCCGAAAGCAGTGTTTCTAGATCCTCTATGTACATTATTATTTTCTGTAATTGTTATAATGACCACCGTCAACCTATTTAAGGAGTCCGTACATGTATTAATGGATTCAGTACCTCAGGATGTTCCTATGAATGATCTGAAAATGGATTTATCCAATTTAGTTGGAGTAACGTAAGGATTTTAAAAATGACTTTTGCTTGATTCTCTCTAAATGAACTACGTCTCCATTTAGATCTGTTCATCATCTAAACATTTGGAATCATACCTCCAACCATAAGATACTAATGGCTCATCTAGTTATAGGTAAATATATTACAAATTCTTATTGCTATCTAATCTAATTCGTTAAATTATATCAAATTTCAGATCCGTCAGTCCATAGCAATACTGTGTTATTTAACGCTACTCAATTAGTTCAAAATTCTAAATACAACATAAAGCATAGTACGATACAAATTGAAACAGAAGCTTTATGAAAAGTGATAATTTGTTCTAGCTTTTTTTAAACAAAAAAAAAAAAAAAAAACAAAAACAAAAAAACAAAAAAAAAAAAAAGTTTTAAATATTTTTAATTCAAGTTTTTTCTTTTTTTATTTATATACTATGAAAAATATTTATTATCGGTTAAGTACACACGTTTAACATCGCCTACCTGAGTCAATATTTAACACATTAGTTACGGTGTTGGTTGGCGTGCTTTAACTTTCCTTTGTAGAAAGAAAAGCGATTACTCTCGTCTCTTATAAACAGCCGAGGACAAAACGACATATATACACCCTAAAGTTTTCCTATAATACATGAAAGTACGGGTCAAACTGAAAAAGTAGTTTAGCCCAGAATTTCTAACTAATTAAGAGTAACATATATTAACAACAAAAAATTTAATATACAATATGTACAAACGTTATAAAAACGCAAGGTTGACGATTAAACACCCTATGCTACATTGTCAATTACATAACTTCACTTGTTTTTTTCATGGACTGCAAGAAACCTTATTTTATATCGACCTTCCATGGTAATCTTTTTTCGGGAGAAGTTCAACAGAACCGATATGACCCAAATTTGACAAAAAACATGTTATCCCTTATGCATCATATCACCATAAAATACCAAAAGTTATTATAATGGTTTACCTTTCATTGAAGATCCTTGCATGGGAATGTATCCGAAGAATAGTTCCACTAGGTGCAGCCTTCGTACCATAAATTTAGATATCAACTTGCCTTGGGTGACTTTCATCACAGAACAAGAAAAATTGGACTTTGTTGCCGCAACAACCTTTTTTTTGTTTTTTTTGCTAAAACGTTTACGTCGGAGGACGCTCAAAAAAAATGTCCTATATCATCGAAATTTTCCAAATTCATTTATCGTGCCAAGACATTATTTTTTGCCCGATTTTAGCGAGATATATTCACAATTACAGATTCCTTAAATAAGGTCTTACATGATCGTAAAAATAGTTCGATCCAAGTCATTTTCAATAAAGTTCCTTCTTATGTCAAAACGTCTCAAATTACCTCGAAAATTGACTCCTGTAGTTTGAAGAGAAAAATAGTACTGACAGATATCACGCAGACCGATATACTTAAAGCGATTTAGAAAATAAATGTAAATGGATAGACATAATGGAAGGTTGGGTTTATCTCAAACTCGCCCCCGGATTTAGATACATACGCTTTAACTTAATATACCCCAACCAGAGATGACGTAGATTGTCAACAGAGCGAAAGACGTGAAAAGAAGCTGAAGAACAAATGTTTACACACATGATATTGTAGTCTGCAAATTGCTGCAGCAAAACGTCTGCAGAAACAGAATGGCTTGGCAGAAATTGTTTATCTCCGAGAAAAATAATAAAGTCCAACTTGACGTTGCTCCCAATGACTCCCATCGAAAAGGGACGAACGTTTAGGCAACAATGCTATTTACTTGTGAAGATAAATATAACAGTTTTTGATAGTTGCCTACAAGTTTGAAGAGATATAGACAGAAATGGAATTTTCACTGTTAAACATGATGGCGATAACTGCTTTTATTTTGTTCTTATTTAATTCATATCTTGCGTAAATTTTGAGATAGATTTATAAATATACATGTGTATATGTATATATATGCATATGTGCTTCTCCATTAATAACAAATCCGTCTGCATATTTGTCCGCCCATAATACGAAATATCCCTCACCTGTAACCAAGTAAATTCTAAAATCAGTTGGTCGGCTTGGCCAACCGTGCGGTAAGTTAGAAGTGCAAATATAGGTATCGCTCATCTCCTTAGCGTAAGTGGATAATAAAGATGTGTAAAATGTCTTTTTTTTTGTATTCATATTTTCCTCTACTCTACAATGATACAACTTCTCTCTCGTATTATGTAGTCTGTATATTGTAGTCTGTACATATATTGCATTAGAGCTATGAGTAGTCTATGTATTATAATACACGCATAAGCATATACCTAACGGTCTTCTATTGCTTACGAACACCTATTCTAATATATATTGCATACATAGCCATATACATAACAAGCTAGCATGCTCTACATATATATTTGCTTGTTGCAAGCGAAACCGTATACTTAGAACGCTCACGCTCTTTATTAACAATTTACGCCTAGTCTATCGGACTGTTCTTATTAATTAGGGATTAACGGTTAAATATCATAATATATTTATCTTTATATCGACGCATAGTTTCCATATATATGCATATTGATATATTTCGATTATAAGTGGCACATATTATGCACAGGCATATAACTAAGGGTCTTTTGGTTTAGACTTTTTGTTGTTGTACGTAAAATCATATGCTTAAACGTTTACTTGTTTATTAACCGTTCCGTGAATATGCTAACGATTTTATATTGAGTTTCTTTTTTTGCTATATGCATATATATAGTGATCTATATGCTTTGTTACTTGCCCTTATTTCTTGCTAAGCCTAACATCTTGAACTGTTCTTACTGTGTAGAGATTAGCGGCTTCACATTTTTGTTACCTACCTCCAATTTCCATACATGAACGTCCGTTTTAGTTATAAGCGATAAACGTATACTTCAGATAGCATTTATATAAAACATATATAACATAGCATCTCTACCACGCATACATACATAAGTAGACATTGATATATTGTAACAAACACATCATATAACGCGTGCCCGTCTGTAACAGACACAGGCCGAGCAACTGCTTAATGGGACAGCGAGAGCGATCGCGCAGCTCAACACTCTCGCTCTTTCATTTCTCTTAGAACAGTCAAGGAGGTAAGAGATCTCGGAAAAATTACTTCCTTGTGTTTGACTCTACTGATAGCGTTACTTTCATGGACTTACGAACAGGGGTTGGCAGGATCGTCCTAATCGTCTTCCCTGAATGATAGACAGATAGATACTAGACTTTAGATACTAGACTTTAAGTATAGAGGATGGCAAGCTCAGCATAGTCGTCAGTTCCGAACAACAGATGGGATTACCCTCTTCGATGACATTTCGGTTAGGGACAAAAAGAACACAGGTAGAAACAGATGAGTGGCCATATTGCCCCAAAGTTGGTTGCTGTAACATCTCTCGTGTATTTTTGTAGAATTTCCCGCAGGACTCATGTACGTACGAAACGCGGAAAATAATATCGAAAAAAAGAACTACGAGCCAGAGTCGGGTCACGAATCACTACGATGTAGATAGTGATATACTCAATTTTTTTCATAATATTTGGTAGAAACATTGGAAGTTTTTGTAAGCAGGTTGGTATTGAAAGTGGACCAATTTGATCATAGCAAAAGCCCGCACTCATTTTTCTTAATTTGGAGCGGAAACCTGAATGCATTTTTTTTTTTTTAAATCACTTATCGCATACGGTATATGCTAATTGTAAATACGATAAATAATACCAAGATACCTAACAAATTCCTCGTAAATTTTTAAAACATAAGTTCGACGAAAATACGAAGGTGCAAGAGTCTTTTTTTTTTGATAAATATTCTTGGAAACGGACATCGTGAGTAGCCCTGGACATACCCCGAATAAGAAGACTTCTTACAATGTATAAACGTTTCTTAGACTAGTCATTAGGAAGGTAAAGAAAAGTGCTTCTCCTCATTATGTTTGTGTGTTGTGAAGTGCAAAGAGACTTTGCATTTTTTGCTATTTGTGTTCTTGCGTCTAATCCTAATCCCAATCTAATGATAATTGAACACAACTTTTTGTCAGTGGCATGAGTTACTATTATTAAATAATTTATATATTTACAATACTCATGTCTTTGATTGCTTTCTTCTAATAAGGCTGCAAATATCAGCGAACTCTCACACCGTCGATGCAGAAGGTGTAATTATTCTTTCCATCAGTATTTTTATCACTCTGTTTTATCGCTATTATAGAACAGGCTGCACATAAAATTCTGTTTATCAATTCACTCTAAATAGATGAAAGACGATCAATCGAGTCTTAGCAGAGGACGCTGCGTTTTTCCTAAAAGAATTAAACATATTATCAAAATTCATTCTTGTTGTAGAAGTGAAACAAACTTACCCCTCCCTGGCTACCAACGAACACATAGCGCATATATGCAGGTTTGTAAGCATTACACACCGAACTTGAGAAGAGAAAGAGAATCTCAATGAACACAAACAGTAATCACGCAATTTTTTAATTGATTAAGTGCAAGAGGAGAAAAAATCAAAGGTGTTGAGTTTCCGTAAACATGCAGCTCAACGGAACAAATGTGTGAATAAATATATTTTTATTGATACTTTTTACGCTTTTCGCTTGTCTTCACATTCTTCTTCTTCTTCGTTTTCTTTTTTTTTTTTTTTTGTAATGAGGAATGTATAACTAACATGTATAGCAGCAAAAGCTACTTATGTATATGTTTTCAAAAAAGGGACAAAGAAATTTTATTTGGCGCATGCATTCGATTGAACACCCGTTCAAATTGCTCTTCATGTACCCAACCTAATTCATAGGTAAGTAACACCTGCACAAATTTCCTTAGGATTATTTTAATATAACATAGGTAGGTGTAATTATAACGATAAGACCAAGGTTATATTCCCCACACATCAAAAGGCAGAAAATGATGAAAATAATTGAAATTTGCTAGACCATGAATCTATTAAAACGTAATTCTTAATAACAAATAAATATGGAACGAAATGCGAAAACTCTACATATTTAACTTAGGTCGCTTTTTGAACACTCAACGTCCATGATCATGGGTGAAAGGATTTCTCAAAGCATTCTGTAAACATGAACGTAACTAAATATTAATGGTAAGTATACGATCCTGCACATGTCTTTATTAAAATTTCTATTTGCATCACCCAGACATTGCGACATAAGACAATTGTCTGTGTTTCAAGAGATGCGATAAACTGAGTTTAATCGCTTGTGTAGGGACTATGAAAATGATATGCACAACTGCTTAAATGGCACAACGAGTTAACATTTCCATCCGCTCAATAAAAAAGCCAAGGCAACTACGAAGGATTAAGACGAATCTTAAGCACCTATTTTCAA